ATTTTGAAAGTTTGTTTGAAAGAGAGGAAGTGCAGGTACAGCATCTGCCACCTTCCACGGAAACTAATATAGATGTTGAAGAAAATGAGATAAGCATGGATGAAATAGTGAAAGCGTTGAAAAGTATGAGATTAGGTAAGGCTGCAGGGTATGACAGGATTACCGTCGAGATGCTGAGGGCTGGACAGGGCCTGGTGGCTATTCAGCTGTACCGCCTTTTCAATCTGTGCTGGCGAAATGGGCAAGTACCGGGAGACTGGTGCAAAGCCGTAATCGTGCCATTGTATAAGGGAAAAGGGTCACGGCAGGACTGCATAAATTACCGCGGTATAAGCTTTCTCAGCGTCGTCGGTAAATTGTATGCGAAAGTGTTGATTGAAAGGGTTGTGAATGAAACAGACGAGAAAGTATGTGATGCACAAGCGGGATTTAGAAAGGGAATGGGATGTACGGATCAGGTCTTTTCCTTGCGGTGCATAGCCGAAAAGTATTTGGCTAAAAACAAGAAAGTCTACTGCGCGTTCGTAGATCTAGAAAAGGCCTATGATAGAGTGGTGAGGAATGAATTGTGGTCAGCACTGTCCGTGAACGGTGTGAGCAGTATCCTCATACGAGCAATGCAATCTCTTTATAGGGATTCTAGTGCTTGTGTAAGGATAAACGGGGCATACACTGAATGGTTTAATATCGAAAAAGGTGTTAGACAGGGATGTGTAGCGTCAACGTGGCTGTTTAATCTGTTCATGGACAATTGTTTGACAGATTTAAAAGAGAATGAAAGTGGGTTGACAATGAATGAGTTACTCGTCAAATGTTTTCTCTATGCTGATGACCAAGTATTACTTGCGTCTTCGGCCGAGGAGTTGCAGGAGATGGTAACTGCTATGAGTGGAGCTTTTGTTAGAAAGGGAATGAAGATGAATGTAAGGAAGACGAAAGTGATGGTGTTTGAAAAAGATGAGGCAGTGACAGATTGCAATATTGTGATTGAAGATGAACAAATTGAACAGGTGAAAGAGTTTGTGTATCTGGGTTCAAAGTTTACAAGAGATGGAAAGTGTGAGAGTGATATCGAAAGAAGAGTGAATGCAGGAAACATGGTGAATGGAGCTTTACACTCCTTTATGAGCAGTCGGAAGGTGTCTAACAAGGCTCGTTTGGCTGTGTATGAGGGGGTGTTGGTTCCGGCACTCATGTACGGAAGTGAAACTTGGGTATGGCAGAAGAAACATGAAAGCAGAATAAATGCAGTTGAGATGAGAGCATTAAGAAGTATGATAGGAGTTAAACTGAGTGACAGGATAAGAAATAGTGAGATAAGGAAAGAAGATGTAGTGACAAAAATTGAGAAAGGTATGCTGAGATGGTTTGGCCATGTCGAGAGAATGAATGAAGAACGATTGACGAAAAAAGTGTATAAGGCGAGTTTGAATGAAAGTGTTGGAAGGGGTAGACCTAGACGGACATTTCTAGACCAAATCAGGGACGTCTTGAAAAAAGGCCAGGTCAAGAGTACCCTAAACCGAAGAGCATGTATGAAGGGAATAATGAAAGTGGACGAAGCAAAACAAGTATGTAAGGATCGTAGCAAGTGGAAAGAACTGGTCTCTGCCTACCCCTACGGGAAAGAGGCGTGATTATATGTATCTATGTATGAATGTATATACGAAAAAGGATTTGCAAAATTATTATTTTTAAATACCGTAAACTGCTACTTTAACATCTTTAGCAGAGTATGTGATGAAACATTGACATCCAAGTGTGTTATCAACTAATGAAATAAGATAATAATTTAGTGCTCATTGAGTGCTGCCGATATACGCAAAAACAAAAATTGGAAAAATATATTTTTTTAATATCATAAATTCTGCTGCTTTTTTTAATATAATAATTTCGCAAATCCTTTTTCGCATATCGGCAGCACTAAATGAGCACTAAATTATTATCTTATATTATTAGGTGAGAATTCACTTGGATGTCAATGTTTCATCACATACTCTGCTAAAATGTCATAGCAGCAGAATTTATGATATTAAAAAAAATATATTTTTCAAATTTTTGTTTTTGCGTATATCGGCAGCACTAAATGAGCACTAATTTATTATCTTATATCATTAGGTGATACTTCACGTCGATGTCAATTATTTCAGTACAAACTCTGCTAAATATGCCAAGGTTTCAAGCAGTTAACGGTATTTAAAAATAATAATTTCTCAAATCCTTTTTTATATATCGACAGCATTAAACGAGCATTAATTTATTATCTTATATCATTAAATGATAATTCACTTGGATGTCATTGTTTCATCACATACTCTGCTAAAGATGTCAAAGTAGCAGTTTACGGTATTTAAAAATAATAATTTCTCAAATCCTTTTTCGTAATTCGACAGCACTAAATGAGCACTAATTTATTATCTTATATAATTAGGTGATAGCCAACTCTGATGTCAATTTTTTCATTACATACTTTGCTCAAGACGTCAAAGTAGCAGAATTTATGATATTAAAAAAATACATATTTTCCCAATATTTGTTTTTGCGTATATCAGCAGCACTAAATGAGCACTAAATTATTGATGCTTCTATTTGGTGCTGTATTAAGCGGTTATCGTTTTAATAGGTAGAACACTGCTAGCTTAATTAAAAGCTAGCAGTTTTCTAATTTTTTATCAAACTATTTTGGCGTGAAATTTAAATTTGCAGCACTAATTTAGCACTAAATGAGCACTAAATATTTAGCAAAAATTTAAGTGATTTTGCTCAAATGACCATTCCAGCTTAACAGACCTTTTATCCTGGGCTTCCTTCCACATGCATGTACTCGTAAGCTCACTTTATACACACTTTTTTTAACTACTTTAAACCAGTGCTTGCCTACTACTATATTTGATAACAATACTACGTTACACTTTCAACATGATTCACGTTGAAAGTGTAACGTTAGATTAGCATTAACAGCATTTAAAATAATATATTTTTTTACCTCTGTTCATAACAGAGCTGAGTAGTTTCGGGTCGGTTATAAATTTGTCTGTCAAATATGAATTGCGCGACAACTCATAAATTTTTATTGTATACTTTGAATTATTGAATAGTCTCTACGTACTAAGTTAACATACAAATCTAGTAATAAAAACATATTATATCTGATATATTGCCAAGCTGTAACCACTATTATTCATGTATACAGTAGAAAAAATATACACAGTAAATAATTCGCATGTTAGTTTCCTACAATATTGAATAGCTCTGTATTATAATCATCATCATCATTACACGGCATCCTTTCACCAGTCTAGTGTTGAACATAGGCCTCCTCCAAGGATTTTCACAAAGTGCTACGTTTCATTAAGTCACATCAGTGCATCTAATAGGGGCTCGCCAATCACTACAGTTGCCGCGCGAGAAACTTTCTTCTACATCGGTGGTCAGTTCTTATTTTAAGTCATTAGACTATGCCAGCAACTCTTGTTCCGCCAAAAATATCCTCGTTACGGATTCGCACAAAGAAACCTCAAGCATAGCTCTTTCCACAGCCCATGATGCATTGGGGCATTCTAATAAAACCAACAATAAAAGTGTACAACTCGGTTCAATAACATGTAAGCAATACGCACTAGTTGTACATTTTTTAAGGTTCTGAGGTTTAGTAGACGAAAAGATTTGTCGCTATATTTCGAACGAAGTCAAAACAATTGCGTCGGTTGACTTTTTTGTTAAAGTTAGACTTATCTAATCGAATATCTTTATCCAGGTGCACAAATTCGAATGCAGTGTTCCGAGTACAACTATCGTTAAAGGTGTGACATGGACATTAGAAATTATCTTCATCTTGACCGTGTTTATATTAAGTTATTCATTGGCAAACACTGTTAAAGTCATTGAACACATTGCTAAGGACCTAGATAACTGATATATTCTTCATTGATGTTGATTTCGTATCCCTTCCAGTGCATATTAGTTTGAAAACGTCTTTCGATGCAGAGGTGAAGTTTCGGAGATATAATGTCACCCTGTCTCATAGCTTGCTGCAGTTGGGTTCGTGCAATTATATTTCGTAACATAGTTTTGTATGCGATAGTTCACCTAACAGAGAATAGCACCATGCAAATTCGTTTGAACTTTATTAACCTAAGACACTATTGTATGCATACCAGTCAATTTATGACATTCTCAGATATCGACATAGTCATACATAGCAATCGCGATCACTTTTAAATTGCCTGATTTTTGAGTCACCGATCTTAAGTTGTAAATCCCAGTCAGAGTTGTTTAGTATCTAGTAGTATCTACGCCCTCTGATAGACAATTTCTTATATATCTTTTTTATAGAAGAAAGGATAACAAACGAGTAAACAGTCCGCGTTATATATAAATATATATATATTTTTTTTGATAAAATTGGCTAACAATTAAATTGAAATTAAATAGAAGAATTAATTAAAAAATTATATAGGAAAGGGTCTCGAGTGGCAAACTTGTAGGAACAAGAGGGTTGTTTAGTGACCACCTGCTGTGGGGGGCACTATGAAGTGACGACCTGCTTATAGATGCAGGAAGTCGATCTATGCAGGTGGCTTAGGACCGTGTTTTGTGGCAAATCTTGGAGGAGGCCTTTGTAAATTAATTAAATAATTAAATAAAAAAAAACTTCAATTTGCATTAGAGAGCTCCCATCTTCCAAAATGATGATTATTGCCTTATAGTTTTACGTGGTAAAGCCATGCTGCAGGTATATTACTGGTATAGTTGTAGCACGAATGGGTCGGCTCGACCGGGGAAGGATCACGCTCTCACAGAATAACAGCGTAAAATAGTAGCTTAACGTTGCTGTGTTTCGTATGGTGAGTGTAGTAACTGGACGCGAGGCATTCTATCTTAGTCCTCATGGGTGACAACGCATCTGCATTTTGATTCGTAATCGAGGATAGATGTAGATGTCTATGGGGATTTTTTGGCTTGTATATAAAAATTACACAAGTCAGATTTACACTTACCAGCGCTGCTCTTGTGACGTAGTCAGGCCGCGATCACCGCTCCATCGGCGCACCGGCATTGACTTGACACTCGCGTCGGCGCCACCACGGACGCGCGCACTATTTCACCACACTTCCGCGCACTGCACACACTAATTATACACCGCACTGCCGAAATCACACGCAGAGACCGCACCCAACTCACTCGGCACAAGTCCGCACTTAACACCTGCAACAAATCAAATTGACTACGTTAGATATAATGTCTGCATGAACGTAACTTTCTTGATTCTTCTCAGAACTATAGTTACAACAAACATTTTAATGAACATTTACGCCCATATTTTATTTAGGAAAAAATCTGCCGCATGCTATGTTTCGCATGGTGAGTGTAGAGAACCGGACACCCTTTTTACTGGAAATGAAGCATTCAATCTTAGTCCTCAGGGGTGGCAAACGCATCTGCATTTTTAATCGTGATAGATGTATTTAGGCCACAGCATCCACTTACAATCAGGTGGACTGTGGGCTCGTTTATCACCCTTATTCTATAAAAAATATTATCCAATTCCATGCTACAGTATGTACAAACTTCACCGATGAAATGATTCGAAGTATTCTCCACATTGATTGAAGACTACATCACAACGTTAGTTGTTTTCTACTAGATTATTTGGTTAGATGAGAAACTCTCATTTGAATAAATTCCTGAGTAGAAATAAGGATATCCAAAATAATCTGTCTACATATACGTTATATGACTAAATAAGTTAGCAAGATTACATGCGTATTGCCTGTCGTAGGTAGGTAGATTCTTTCTTTACGATGGCTTACAATGTTCACAAAACTTGAAACAGGGAAACTGTGGCAACAGGAAAAAGTTTTAGTCGAAAGTGGAAAAGTTATCCGAAACTTTTTTTACAAAGCTATCTCAAAACGTGAATAGAATTGTTTCTACTATGAGTTAAAGATAATTAGCTTACGTAATTTTTATGTTTTACGTTCTCACTTTTGTTCACTGCACCAGTGGTATCTAGGTACTTTATTAATTTGAAAGCTTGCAGCTAATACCATAAACTAATATATATTAAGAAAGGAACAAGGACAATTATAAGTTTCCAAAGGCAAAATCATATTATTTATTGAATAAAATATTGATAAATGTAATATCCAAATTCACTTACTATGGTTTGCTTAAATTGGAAAAAAATTATGATATTATGTGTTACTACAGCAGGACGAAGCACTATTTTTGTTGCTGTTTTTAGACGTAATGTTAAAATGCTAAATGCTAGTTGTTATTAAAATCAAAAGTCTAATTTATTACATTACAGACCAAGTTTAACCCTCCATATGTTCCAATATGAGCCACGTGCTTTATGCCTAGTTTAGTAGTGTAGCTGAAATTCGGTGTGGCCTTTTGGGTGCTTTGTATGTAGCGTACAATTAAGTCCATGCCAAATTATATGACCAATGTCTTAGTTTTGACAAAAGTATTATCGAAATATGACAAAATAAAATAGTTTTAAAAGAAATTATACAAGGATTAACAGATATTTTATCTAGGTCTGCTATTTATTCGGAAATAAAAATAATCTAATAGATGCACTTTTACGTATGTATGATTGTAATGTGAATGTATGAATTTCGAATTAACTTCACTAATATTAATTTTTGTCGGCCCGTTCATCCATAGACATTGTACGTTTCTTCAATTTATTTAATATGTTTACTTATTATTATTATTACTACATTTTGTAGTTTAGGTAAAAGAACTTAGTGTTAGATGTAGTGTTAGATGACTCGTATGTACTTAAGATGGTGTCGACAATCCATTTCCAAATATTATCTGGCTTTATGTATTGATCTTCATATCTCAAGCACACAACAATAAAATATTGTGCACGATTTACGACACATGGCGGCGAAATATTTTTATCGCCTAGGTTATGGTTGCTCGGGGGCGCTCAGTAATATTTTACGGTTCATAAAGAACGCGAGACGGACAGTCGCGACAATGTATCTCTCTGTGCCTCTTTCATTTCCATTGTTTCTGAGTGACTAATATGTCTCCGTATTCCCTAAGCCTCATTGTTATATTGAATAGAATATGTAGCTCCAATATTTAAAATTAATATACTCTTATGTGTTTTTCTTAAGCGTATCGACAATGGTGTCTGAAACACGTAATGTAAATGAAAATACAACCCTTAATTTAAACAAATTTATGTAGGTATACCGAATTTACCGGCTTATAATTTTGCCGTGAAGTCTATTTTGAATCCTAATCTAATATCATAAATGAATACTTTTCAGTACGCGTGGCAGCGGAAGACTAAAAAAGGAACCACACCGGAAAATCGATTTTTTTAAGATAATTAATAGAATCAGGAAATCCAATACATTAAATATGTAGTAAAGTAAAGTAAAGTTGCAGCCTATTTACGTCCCACTGCTGGGCACAAGCCTCCTCTCATTTCTGAGAGGGTTTTAGGGCAAGGAAGTGTCCGCCGCGCTGCCCCAATGCGTATTGGCGGACTTCACATGTCTTCGAAAAAACTTTTTTTTCTTATTTCTCAGACATGCAGGTTTCCTCACGATGTTTTCCTTCACCACCGAGCACGTGGTAAATCAGCAATTAAAATTGCAATTAACAATTTCATTGGTGCCGGCGGGAATCGAACCCGGTTTGCTCGAGTACTGTGAAGCTTACAGCGAGCGCTAACCATCTGAGCTACCACGGCTCAAATTTTAAATATGTAAAAAAAATAATTATCTAAGACCCGTTTAATAAAATGAAATCATTTAGCGGTCAGCAACAACAGTTTATTTTACCTGATAATGCCTCGTTTAGAGGCGAAACACATGACGTGTAGGTGGTATAGGGATTAGTGGTGACGGGTATAGTGTGATTGAGGGAGGGCGGAAGGCGCTCTACAAAATAAGGCACATCATTTTATTTTATTACGGGGATCGTTGCTAATTAATTTTTAACATCCTTAATCGATTATTGAAGTAATATAAAGTGTAAATATCATTCAACTATCTACAATCATATACAAATAGCGAGCGCTCGTAGAAACATTCATTATAATCTTATCATAAATCCATATAACGATCAACTGACATACCACATAGAAGGTATGTATGTACATACTACAATGTTGAAGTATATAGAAAATATACTTTATTTTTTTATTAGTCCTAAAACATTCACAAATTAAATGAAAATAAAGTATTACCTCTGATTTGTAACACGCATTATTTTTATGATAAGACGATTTTTGTATGCGTTAAATCTGATTAGAGACCTTGGAAATATTTACGGACTTACGTAAATTATACATTTATTTAAAGACCAACCGTTCACATTTCATTTAAAACAGTCAAGATATAGGAAACTTTAATTTATTATATTTTTTTTGCCCCAGAAGAAGATTAAGATTTGAGTTGAATTTCTGATGGCTAATCTGACCTGGCCATTAAATCCTCTAGACCAACGGTTCCTTACCGTTGTAGGCACTCCAAGTGGTCAGCTAAGTTATCATATAATATTCTTAAAATATAAAAATTGTACAACATTTTCGCATATTACTGTTGTGTGCAGATACTACTGATACGGTTCATAACACAAGGGTTTTGTTGATTTTACATTAAAATAAGGGGCGTCCAATGACGCCTCACACTTATTTTAGTGTTGTATTAAACAGCACAAACTAAAATAAACTTTACCATTATTATTACTATGCCTAAAAGTTGGTGGTCCAAGGCATGACATAAAATCCGTTATAATAATAATAATAATAATAATAATAATCCATTTTTTTTATTATTATAATAATAATAATCCATCATCACGGACAGGACTATTCTTGCGAATAAGCCTGATATTGTGCTGATGGACCGGGCACAGTCAAGGATATTTTTGGTCGACATTACCATTCCTTATGACGAGAACCTCGTGAAAGCCGAAACAGATAAGTTGACAAAATATCTGGACCTGGCTCACGAGGTGACCGACATGTGGGGTGGTCTGCCGGCCGAAATTATTCCTGTGGTCGTCTCTGCGAACGGGTTAATCCCAGTCAGCCTCTCGGGTCATCTGAGGCGACTGGGACTCCGTGACGGATCGCTCCAAGCTCAAATGCAGAAGGCGGTGCTCCTCGATACCGCCCGCATCGTCCGCCGGTTTCTTTCCCTTTCTCCCTAACCCTCGGCCGTTTGGTCTCCCCTGCCGAGGGCTTCCATCTGGTTGGGTTTTTATATATTTATGTAATTTTTATGTATTTATTTTATTTTATTGATATTTATGTAAGTTTATCATTTTCATTTACAATTATATATTTATACAGCCCAACCAGATGAGAAAACTATACAAATACCCCATAATAATAATAATAATAAAATATTTATTTGCATAAAACATGGTACATTTTTAGGTCTTATAATATAGTGTGAACATGCATGTTTTACCGATTTATCAGTGTGCAAATATTAAGTCGACATGCAATAATTGAATAATTAAAATTACAAAATTACAGTAACGTTTCATATCAAAATTTAATAAAGCAATATAATGTCAATAAATTTATTATGTAAAAAGAGAAAAAAATAATAAAAAATATACAGGCATGGTCATGTCATAATGCATAATGTCAAACTAGTATAATGTCAATCTTACAAATTCTAATTAATTTGTCAATTTAAAATTTCAAATAACAACAATTCGCTTGAGGTGACCGTCACGGCAGTATTGGTAGCCTCAATTAATCCCTCATCACTATCACTAAAAGGTAAAGAACTTAGAGTATACATAAGCAAGCTACGCTTATGTATATAGTCTAAGGTTAAAAACCGCTGCTGTATACTAAACGGCTAGACGGATTTTGAAGCGTGATTTGTTTTTAGACCCACTTCTCTTGAGTGCTATACTGAACTATATTTTAAAATAAAAATACCAATACAATACTTGTGAAAAGGCAATATTGCAATTGCTTGACGCTTATTACGATAAACGTATTATTTTTATTAGTTAATTTACTACATATGTAACTGCAGTTGAGTCCTGTGTTTTTAACAAAAAATTGTTTTTATTAGCATAATATTTTCCGAATGAGAATTATCATCACCCACTTAACAAGTTCCAATGCTGAACATTCCACAAAACACGTTCCTTAGCCAGCTACATGCATAGACTTCCTGCTTGTCTTACAGGTTCTCACACCATTT